TATCAGAGCCAGACATCGAGCGATGTGCCAGGAAGGACGCTGAGCCCTGAAGGGAGGTGGACACGAGGTGGTGTGCCAACAAGGATGCTAGGCCTTGAAGGGGGGTGGATTGGGGGGTCCCACATTGATTGGAGAAGGGAACAAGTGCTAGCGAGGACGCTGGCCCCAAAGGAGGGTGAATTGTAAGATTCCACATCGATTAGGGAGGAGAACGAAACACCCTTTATAAGAGTGTGGAAACCTCTCCCTAGCAACACGTTTTAAAAAACCTTGAGGAGAAGCGCGAAAAGGAAAGCTCAAAAAGGACAATATCTGCTAGCGGTGAGCTTGGGCCATTACACATTTGTTCTGGTTTGGAACTATGCATCATTTTGATCTCTTGAACTATAAAGTGGCAACAAATTTATGATTGTGCAATATATCTATGCACAAACATTCTCCTTTATGCTTCCTTTTCCTGATGATTATATGGTCTGATTTGAAGTCTATGTTTGACTCTATTGTTTTGTCTGAAGTCAAATACTTGCCATTTCACTCCAGCATCTTAGGAACAATGTTAATAGAAGTTACTAACTCGTTGAACTTGATTTCCAATTGTTGTGTTTCAGCAATAGGTCAAGACGAAGCTTGGTTTGACTCAGTCAGTGTTCTGGAATCCGACTCAGACGATGAATTCAGTAGTTTGCATGGAGGTAATATTTGATCATCGGTTTTTATCTTCTTGTAAGCATTTCAAGATTCAGTTCTTGAGTATTGACTGTTTGATCATCGGTTCTTCGCAGATGGTTTTCCATCCGTAGGAAATCCGATCGGGAACATCTCGAGTGGCCAAGTGGTTCAGTATGAAAGATCGTCCCGCTTTCTGGAAAATAGATGCAAATATGAAGAATACCATGAAAGCTATCTAAAAATAGATGGAGGGAAACCAGAAAATATCAAGAACAAGGATGAATATGGATTTGGACTCATGAATTGCCAAGGTAATGAAATTTCCAGCAAGAAGAGGTCGATGTTAGATCGTTCGTATGGCAGCTTCAAAGATCTAAAAGACGATTGCCGCAATTCTCTAGAGAAGAATCAAGAGAATACGTTAAAGTCTGCCTTACCTCGCATCGTTCCTTCTATAAGTTTCAACGAGAAGATTCCGAGTTCTCAGACTCCTCAGGGACTCAAAAAGCAGTCAGCAGTTTTCAGGCTTTCCTTTAAGAGACGGTCATGTGATGGAGAAGAAACCATAGAAAAATGTAAGTGTTCATATAATTTGAACCTCACATAGATTTACTTGATTCGGTCTGGGGAACGAGCAATAACAACCTGTCTAATTTATCGTTTGCAACAGGCCAATCAAAGAAGTATCTATACTGTCCGAAAGCGGGACATATACCATGTTTTTCAGGGGAGAAAACACCTCCAGGAAGCTGGTCCGAGATTCCGCCATCAACTTTTAAACTTCGTGGTGAAAGCTACTTCAAGTATGCAATTTTCTTTCACTCAATATCATGGATTTCGTCTGTGATTTCTTCTGTTATTTCGCGAACTTTATAAGTTTCTTCTGATCTTTCAATGTAGAGATAAGAAGAAATATCCTGCCTCGAATACGAGTCCTTATGTTCCAATCGGCGTCGATTTGTTTATGTGTCCGACGAAAATCAACCACATTGCTCAACATCTGGAGCTTCCTTTTGTAAAATCTGATGCAAAAGTGCCTCCATTACTCATTGTAAACATTCAGGTACTGCTTAATTTTGTTAATACCTTCTACGTTCATGACTACGTTCATGGCATTTAAAAGCCTTGTAATTTGTTGCAGTTGCCTATTTATCCTGCTGCAATGTTCCTTGGTGATAGTGATGGTGAAGGAATGAGTCTGGTTTTGTATTTCAAGGTTTCTGAGAAGTTTGATAAGGATATCTCTCTTCATTATCAGGAAAGCATCAAGGTACTTTCCTTTTCCACCCCATTTTTTCACTGAAAAAACCAGCTGTGAGATCCACGTCGGTTGGGGAGGAGAACGAAACACCCTTTATAAGGGTGTGGAAACCTCTCCCTAACAGACGCGTTTTAAAAAATCTCGAGGGAAAGCTCAAGAGGGAAAACCTAAAGAAAACAATATCTACTAACGGTGGGCTTGGACCGTTACAAATGGTATCAGAGCCAGACATCGGGTGATGTGCCAGCGAAGAGGCTGAGCCCTGAAGGGGATGGACATGAGGCGATGTGTTAGGAAGAACGCTGGTCCCAAAGGGGGTGGATTGTGAGATCCCACATCGGTTGGGGAAGAGAACGAACCACCCTTTATAAGGGTGAGGAAACCTCTCCCTAGCAGATGCGTTTTAAAAAACCTTGAGAGGAAGCTCAAAGAAGACAATATCTATTAACGGTGGTGGATTGGGGGGTCCCACATCGATTGGAGAAGGGAACAAGTGCCAGTGAGGACGCCGGGGGAGGAGAACGAAACACCCCTTATAAGGGTGTGGAAACTTCTCCCTAGTAGACGCGTTTTAAAAAACCTTGAGGGAAAAGCTAAAAAAGAACAATATTTGCTAGTGGTGGGCTTGGGCCGTTACACCAGCATTCATATCGAATTCAACTTAGTATGCTGAGCTTTTTGGCTTTTCAATTTGATTTTCTGCTCTTTCTCACTCTATCCTTTTCTCATTTTGCTTTCTCTACAGAAATTGATTGATGATGAGATGGAAAAAACCAAAGGATTTACGAAAGATTCTACTGTTCCATTCAGGGAAAGGCTTAAGATTATGGCAGGGGTGGTTAACCCAGAGGATCTCCATTTGAGCTCTACTGAAAGGAAGCTCGTTAGCGCTTATAATGAAAAACCCGTCCTGTCACGGCCGCAGCACAACTTTTACAAGGTACTTAATTAGAAACATTAGAACAAACGTCCTTCGAATATTCTGGTTCCGTTTTAGAATTAGAACAGCGGATGAAGGAACCTTTAGCTTACAAGTTTTGATCGAAAACCAAACTCTGCTTTACGTAAAGTTGTCATAGTATGTTTAAGCTCTGGATTTTAAACCGCCGCTTATACCTGGTATTGGCCATAATTCATACGAACGATCTTGGCTTAGATAAGTGATGAATACTAGTGGTGCGTTCTATTAGGCCAAGGGAAAATGACAGTGTTCGTTCTGAAATTTTATGTTTTCTTATACGTTCAATGATCTTTTAACAATTGCAGGGCCAAAATTACTTCGAGATTGATCTGGACATTCATCGTTTCAGCTATATATCTAGAAAGGGGCTCGAATCATTTCGAGAACGTTTGAAAAACGGAATACTTGATCTTGGTCTAACCATCCAGGTATATATTCTGGTCAAACACTTCAATCATTCATTTGGTACGTCAAATCGTTTGATGTTAAAACCGGAGTCGAACATGATTTTAAAACCGAAAACGATAGCAGATAGCAGTAGTGCATACATACATTGATGTTGTTGAGCCAAACCAAATCTCTTTTTAATTGCTTCTCTGTTAAAACAGGCACAAAAACCTGAAGAACTGCCAGAGCAAGTTCTGTGTTGTGTGAGGCTGAATAAGATTGATTTTATGGATCATGGACAGATACCCACATTAGTGACCTTTGAAGAAGACTGATACTGACCATATGGTACGTTTCTCGACTTCGTCCAACATGTCATGACTCGAGCAGGCTCAACAACGACAGGCAAACGACATCCATTTTAACTCACGGAAATACCGACCCATCGGTCCGACTATCTAATCCAAAGGTAACCTTCATTTTTGTCCAATGAATCACTGTTCTTCCTCCCACCCCAAAAGCTTCAACCATTAAATCAGCAAGCCTTGACTAGCAATGCCTCAATGTCCTGTTAAAAATTTATATCCAGTCTCTCTGTACATGTTTATTGCATCGTCGTATTAATGAGAGCCAAAGAGTACGACGTCGATATGAGCATGGAGATCAAATAGTCGAGACATTAGTAACTTCCTTTGCGGATCATTCATTCGAATCCTCTCACTATTGTTTGAAAAAGAAAAAGAAATAAATTTTCGTTATATTCAAGGACTTGTGTACTATTATTCGAGTGATTTTGACTTTATTTTAGTTACTTTAATAATTTAAAATGGGACAAATTAAAACTATAAATACGAAAATTCTTAATTTTATACCTATATTTTCTTTCGAGATTGAATTTTTTTTAAAGGAAATTAAAAAAAAAAAAAAGAAAGAAAAAGAAAAATGTGAATTTTTCATTAAGAATTAACCATTAAATTAGATAGTTTTAAAATTTATTTAATAAAAAAATAAAAAATAATAACTCATAAATGAAAATAATTTCGAGAAATTTTAATAAATTTTCTAAGCCTGACGAAATAAGATGTCAATTACCATAAAAGGAAGGCGGGAACGAGGATTCGCGGGTGAATTAGAGAGAAGGAGAAGGACAAAAATGGAAATGTGTAAATTAGGGTTTTCGAGTATGCCAATATATGAAGAAGACGGAGATGGAGAAGAGACCAGAGAACAGACCGAGGCCGAGAGCTTACCTCTTGAGTTAGGGGTGGCGTGGTATTCCACAGGGAGAGGTTTTTCAAATTGTGGCGCACTCGTAGTGCGTTGGGCTTAACATTATCACTTTCTTGTGGGGGCTTCCATGGCCGCTTTGCTGCCCTAGCTTTCGCAGTCAAGGCGACGGGTTTCGCCCTACATTCAAGTCAAATCCTCCTTTTCAAACTGATTTCTTCTTACATTATTCGCTTTCTTAATCCATCTAACTTTAACAACTTGCTCGTTCTTGTTCCCGTAAATTAGAATTCATCTTTCAATTGGGGTTTTCTTTTTAAGGATTTCTTTGATGTCTGTATGATTACACTAGCACATTTCCGAATTTTGGGGTTTAAATGTATAATTGTTTTTATGAAGGGGCGGACTAGAATAAATTGGACTTGATATTATGTATGTATATGTTTTCGGGTTTCAATCAGAAGATCAGATGATAAAGAAAGATGCAGGGACGTTCAAAATCACGTTTCCAATAATTGATCAATTGCATCCGACGGTGTTTTTCATTCAATTTGTCTGAACATCTTAAATAAATGTATGAATATTTGTGGAAGCTTCTTCTTTTCTGCTACCGTGGGCTTGTTTTTGGTGTCGGGTAGCAAATGTCAATTTGAGCTCTCCTTGTGGACGCAGGCATGAAATTGTGGAACTGCTGCTAAGTGTGGTTTTTATGTACGTCTATCATCTGACTATTGCACCGGAAAATGAATGCATCATTTATCTGGAAACAAGAACAAAAGTTCTTCAATTGTTGATTGGTAAGAAAAATGGAGGGTTTAGTTCTTTGAAGCGGGTTGGAATCAGAATTCTCCGTTTTTACCTCTTTCGAACCTGGATTTCCGAGCTACTCGTCGGATGTGGTTTTCATTTCGTTGCAGGAGTTCATCTACTCTATGGGGCTGTGTTAACAGAGGTCCTGAGAATTCAATGTGTGATTCCATATCATCGTTGTCCTGTTCATTTACGAGAGAACAACATCAACTGTTAGTCCAGGAAGAAGTTTTTAAAGTCTGCAAGTAAATGGAGGCATGGTTACCAGATGTGCTGTGACAATGGTTTGTTGTTTCGGATGGAGTTCATTGGACATCTCCAAGAATGATTCTTCGGATGCATCAAAAGACTCGGGAAAATCATGTACTCTCCTTTGCTGCTTTCGCAATTCATAGTCCTGCGTGACTGAATTGGCTGGAATGTTCGTATGTTCATTGTATTTTCTTGTGAATTCAAGGGTGTAATTTGCAAAAGATGGATCCAGAGCACTTATTTGGCTTTTAAGACCATCTGATATTGTAGATGTAGCTTCCTCTTTCCGCTTCTTTACCCAAGCAAAGCCGCTAGACGCTGAGAGTGGAATTGGGGCTGTGAATGCGCTGTCTCCTATCTGATTTGGTGCAGTTGCAGCGGCAGCTTCCGATGTTGTATCATATAGTGGCTTCTGCGACTCTCTCTGGAAAACGTCACCTTGTTCATTGGAATGATTGCTGCCATTGTTCCGCCTAGAAGGTTGAATGTTTTCTTCTCCATCCTATGAAGGAAAAACACCATAAAAGTTGGTAAATAGTTTAGAATTGATAGCAATGTGGGAAGAGGGGAGAATAGTAAAGGAGAAACCTCTTTTTCTTTTGCTTGCACTTTTTGGCCGTTGAGTTCTGGCAAATTTCTTCTAACTCTTCTAGCCCTTTGTGTTGGTACAGGTTCTTTTGTCCTTGCATTTGCCTTCTTCCTGCAAGTAAATCATAGGTGTAGTTCTTCAGCTTATATTGAAGATATATTGGATTTTGGAGGAAGTTAGTGAAAGAGAGTGAAAGGTTCACCTTCGTGCATCTTCACGGTTTTTGGCATCCATTTCTTTGTTTGGTGGATACTTGGGCAAGGTAGATGGATCGCAAGCATATGGTTTCGTTTTGAAATACTGTTAAGGAACAAAAATCAATTGCCAAACATCATGATTATTGCAAACAGGACATGCCTTGCCTTTAAGACAATGCCTAAGAAAGATTTTTGTGGTTACCTCAGACATGAGAGCAGATGAGGCGGTCCCGCGCTTGTAAGGTTCAATGGCAAGAAAAGTTTCCAAAAGGCTCAATGCAGATGGGGTAAAATCTTTACACTTTTCGTTCAGGGAACTTTCATATGCATGTTGGGGTCTGAACATAGCTGCATGAGGAAGCTTTGTTTTCTTCCAGAACTCTTCAAGTGGGGAGCCGCAAAGTTTGAATATTTTGTGCAATTGTTCAACCTGTGTTTTGTTTGCTCCATTGATGTCAGATCAAACCAGTGCGCAACAACCGAAAAGACAAGGGCTTTTTTAGAAACCAGCATCCATTACCTCGGTTCTTCCTTTCAGAAGGGGTTTTCCCAGGTGCAGTTCTGCAAATACACATCCTATGCTCCAAAGGTCGACGGTTAATCCGTAATCAGTCGAACCCATCAGAAGCTCGGGAGGGCGATACCATAAGGTTACCACTCGACTTGTTAGCACTTGCTTGTTTTTTGTGTTTATGACATTTGCTAATCCAAAATCTGCCAACTTGAGAATTCCTTCATTGTTTACCAAAATATTGGATGCTTTAATGTCCCTATGCATTATACCCCGAAGGTGGCAATGCTCAATTGCAGATAGAAGCTGTCTCATATAACACTTGACCTGAAAAAAGCAGGCGAAGGAAGAGGAAATGGGATTGTTTTTTGTTCTAATTAGAGCAGAACCAGATGAAGAACAAAAAATGATGTATTGACAAAATGCTGTTGTTTGAGCAAAGTAAAAACGGTGGACCAACTACTAACCTGTGCCTCACTGAATTCGATATCAGGACAAGACACAAGGCCTGCAAGATCATGTTCCATGTATTCAAATACAAGGTAAATGCTGCTAGACATTTTGGAAGTAATTATGCCTTCTAAGTGCATGATGTTTGGGTGATCGAGCCTGCGCAAAATCATGATTTCTCGTGCCATAAACCTAATGCTCTCTGGTTGGAAATTGTCGAAACGAACCTTCTTCAAGGCAACCATCCTCCCTGTATCAACTTGTCGAGCACGGAACACGCTGCTGTATGTACCTTGTCCAATCTAGTTCAAAAAACAAGCTTTCTTCTGGGTAATGTGTACACAATAAAATATACTTTCCAGTAAATGCAAAGAACACGTAGAACATAAAAGAAGATGCATTGCATCATATCGAGACAACTTGTTCTAGAACTGCATGAGAATCAATCTCTACGAAGAAGTTGGGCTTTTTTTTTTGGAATAACAAGAATCAATCGCTAGGGAGTCGGCCCTTTTTGGAAATGTTTCATTTAATGCATTAGTTTTTATAGCTTCTGAGTTGAATTGAATCAAAATGGAATTGGTAATGTTTCAGGACAACGACAAAGAACATGAAGACTGCTACCAAAATCAGGGTCTCGTACCTTCTCCAACTTCTCGAAGGAATCAGCTCGGAGAGGAACCCATCCGTGAACAGCCTCGCCGGCGGCACTACTGAGCCAAGAAGGCCAGCCTGCGGCAACCTGCTCGGCTTCCACATTGCGCTGAGGAGCCCCTAATTTGAGGCTTTGAGAAGCCTTCACCCCTTGGGAGCTCTCCTTCTTAGATTTTCTGAGTTCTCGAGTCCGATCATCCGATTTGTTATCCCCTTTATTGTCATGATCGAGCGTCGTCACAGAGTGCGTTCTGGACAAAGGATCCAGGGTCACAGCAGCGCCATTTGCGGCGACGGTGGCAGTGGCGGTGGTGGTGGCACGGCGTTTGCGGACGGGAGATTTTGTCGCCTTAGTAACCTGCTTGGAACTAATGCAACCCATGAACCACCAAATCCCGACAGCATCGATCAGAGAAGCAAAAGCAACAGAGATCGACCCCGATCGGGAAATGGGCTCAGCAAGGGGAAAATGGAACCCCTACGTCCACCAGCTCAAAAGGGTGTTCTCCATTATGTGAGGGAGGAAAAAAGGAAGGGAAAATGACTTGAACTCATAAGAAATCAGAGCCATTTTTGGGTTAAGTTGTTGGCGTACCAATGGCCCTATCCCTACTCCTCTGGGATTGCGAGATCTGCGGAGGACGACTTGGCCAAAGAGTTCGGGTTGTTTTTGTTTCTGTGAGAAACGGTCCGAAAGCAGAGGATGCGAGAAAGAGAAACATTCGTGGGTCCTAACTGCCTCCTCTGCTTCTTCCCTTTCCTCTCTGCCCTTTTGTTTTCTTGGAATTGCAAAACCTGAAATCTAACCGTTTCAGACTTTTCCTTCCTATTATCTCTCCCTTTTCCCTTCACCCCTGACACCGAAGAGAGAGAAAGAGGAGAGAGAGTATTGCAGTTGATTCTGCTCAACCACCCACCACCTCCATTTTCACTCAGTCCACCATTAGAGCACTTCCCTCACAAGCTTTGAATTTCAGCTCCTCCTTCTACAACTTCATTTCATTTCTCATATGGGTTTGCTGTGCTGATGTTCTTATTAGGAACAGATAGCGAAAGAGAACCAAAGACACAAAATTTCTTTCGGCCCATCATTCTTTTTCTCTCCTCTTTTGTTTGCTTTTTCTTCCTCAGTTTCACTCATTCCTCTTTTTCATTCTTCACATAATCATTAAAACGTCCTCATTGCTTTACTTTTCTTTTGACTATCTTTTTCATTTCTTCTCAACCATTGACTGCATTTCTTGTTGAATATGCTTGCATTATGTTAGAGAGATTGAATGAATCTACAAAAGTTCGTAATTTACTCAAAAACTTTCCCTTCTTTCTTTCTGTTTCTTCAATGAATTATGGGTATAACTCGAGTTGGGTTTATCTGGTAGGTGAAATGAGATGAAATATGGGTAACTTTCCCAATTATTATTTGCAGATCTGATGGTTGTAACCCACCAACCTATATCTAAATTATTCCGTTGGTTTCTGGTTAGTGGGAGTGGAAAAATCTGCATCCACTTTGATGAAGATGGTACTCATTACAACCAAACTTCCAAACTTTGATAGAGATGTATGTAATGAGACACCAAATTTGTGGGTCCATATTCATTTGTTTTGGACTCTACCTATTAAACTTTTTTTTTCGAAGATCTTCCTTGCTGCTACAATAACTCCATACAAGGGAAGTTGTAGAGATTCATCTTTCCAAAAGAAACTGTATCAATATCAACAAACAATATAAAGATTCTGAATTTTATACACACAGCTCCAATTTGTACAGTTCATATTTTGGTATAAACTGATGGACTACATGAAATTTTACAGAACATAAACAATGTCTAGTTTGAATTTGGGGAGTCACACTACACAACAGGTTTCTAAAATTACAGGGAAGAGTACTCAACTTCCTGTACCTTATAGGATGATGCAGTATATTCTTTTCACCTCAGCTGCAATGGTGAAACAGCCTCGGGAAGCTGAGATAAACACAAGTAATAACATTATTCTGATCATATAATATCAGTCTTGACTGTCCTCCTTGTATCTCCCTTGGCATATGGTTGAAACTAGTTTCGGGATGTAAATTGGAGAAGGCAAATGGAGCACTTTTGACTCGAACACGAACACGGACTGTGAAATTCAAATTTATGTGACTGGAAACTTTTTCTCCCCTTTTTGAAACTGGTTAGTCACTTGAAATCAACTACTGACCAGGTTGCACTATGTCGTAGCAGTTTACACAGTGATTTGCTCTTCTTTAAGCCGCAAAACGGCAGGTCTCTGGTCATTACTTCCAAACTCCATCTCTTTAAGTAATGGATGTTTCTGAGCTACAACCTTAAGCGGTTTGATCTGGGGCACGGTGTTGTGGCTGCTGTTTCTAGCTGCAGGGACATCATGGTTATGTTTCCCTTCGTATGTGGTTACGACAGCTTTCGAATCTGTAGAAGACCTCTCGACATGCTTGCGGACGTTGCACCCAGCACTAGTACATTTGTAGTAGCTCCTGTTGACAGGTTAAAATGTGTCAAAAGACATGATCATCCTAGTTGCAACAAGCAATTAACACAGATAACAAACTCAGAAGTTCTTTGACACAGATCAAACGCTAATGACAGAAATTACTGAAAAAGAAAAAGTTGTCTTAGAGAACATGATATGCTCAAAACATAACAAATGACAAATAAACAAGTCGCTGTCCAACAGGAGAGTCCAGAATTCTTAAACATAGTCAAGTCAAACTTCAAAGATGAAGAATCAAAGTAATGACAAGTTACAGCAAATCCATCTTACACTTGTCGGTAACCATAATCTATGTGTAACAGCTCAAGCCTGCCGCTAGCAAATATTGTCTACTTTAGACTTTCCCTTTCACACTTCTCCTCAAGGTTTTTAAAACGCTTCTGCTAGGGAGAGGTTTCCACACCCTTGTAATGAATATTTTATTCTCCTCTCCAACCGATATGGGATCTAATAATCCACCCCCCTTCAGGACCCAACGTCCTCGCTAGTACTTGTTCCTTTCTCCAATTGATGTGGGACCCCCCAATCCACCCCCTTCAAGGCCTAATGTCCTTGCTGGCACATTGCCTCATGTCCACTCCCCTCCGAGGCTTAGTCTCCTTGTTGGCACATCGCCCGGTGTTTGGCTCTGATACCATTTGTCACAGCCAAAGCCCACCGCTAGCAGATATTTTCCTCTTTCGGCTTTCCCTTTCATACTTTCCCTCAAGGTTTTTAAAACGTGTTTGCTAGGGAGAGATTTCCACACCCTTATAAGAAAATGCTTCGTTCTCCTCCCCCAACTGATGTGAGATCTCACATTATAACCAAAGAAATCTAAGACATGGGAGATAAAATACGAACTTAGAGCATGTTCATAAATGCAACAAATGGTAAACCGACCATTTCTTCAAGTCAACTGCAAACCATCCTCATGACAGGACACTAAGGACAACAGGTCTAACTTCTATCTTAGTTAGTACTCATAATTCATCAAACAGAAAAAAGAGAAGTTATAAGAAAATAACCCATTGATCATCTTTGACCTTCAAAATCATCAAGATCATGAGAATGCTAAAAGTTCTGAGCAAACAAAAGAAAGCATGCTTATCATAGTGAATGATTGTGATTTGTAGGGTAACAATATTTCAGCGCGTGAGCATATGCTTGCATATAATATGGACGTCTTATAATTTTCACTTACCAACCACTTTTTTTTGGAAAGAAAAAAAAAAAAAAAGACAAAAAGAAGCTAAACTAGCTACCTGGGGTTAGGATTTCCTTTAACCACTTTCTGCCCATACTTGCGCCACCTATAACCGTCATCTAACAGGTCGACCTCGCTTCTAGTTTGAACAATGATTTTTGGTTCTGTGAGTGTTTTATGAGACAAAGCAACACCAGATATCCCTACATCAATGTTCCTGCACTCATGTGGCAAAGCCACAAATATTTTAGTTTTTTCCCACTAAGACAGAAGAACTATAGATAAACTGTAAAATGAATCAAAATATAAAAATTTTCATACGTACTGCCTCTTTGGATTTGGTTCATCTTCATCTCTGTTTTCTGTTATCTCTGTATCAGCTTGTTCTTCACTGTCACTAGAACCTAATTGCACATTTTCACTTGACTTGTTCAAAATTCCAGCTTGAATTTGGAATCTACTTTCAGGCTTCGTCAAAGAATTTGTACACCCAGTTGGTTCACTATTATCTCTTGCACGTTTGTTGGCTGGAGGAGGTTCATGGTTATGCTGACCTTTGTAAATAATTTCAGTAATTTGACCATCAGGCGAACGCTCGATCTTCTTTTTGACGGGGCAATTCAAATGTGTGCATTTGTAGTAGCTTCGTGGATATTCACTGCCCTTAACCAGCTTCTGTCCGTATTTACGCCAGTTATAGCCATCATCTGCAGGTTTATCAGAGGCATTTGAAGGAGGAGGTTGGTATTTTCTATCAGAATGAGATACTTCTGTTGATTCTGCAATGATACTTTTTGTGTCTGATGTGGAGGGTAATACTGACAGTTGAGAAGCTTCATCAAGAGTAAACGATGGATCACGTGTCAACGGTTCCATAGGAGCTGGTACTAAAGAATGTTGATATTCAGCTTGCTGCATATGCATATGAGAATGTGTCAATGCCGCTTGAGCAGTAACCTGAGCCAATGCCTGCTGGTGTGACATTCCAAATGGGCTCTACAAGGAATTTAATCAACAAATCAACAAAATCAATAGAAATCATTGCCTTTATGGCATGTTTAACATTAACAATCATGCAACATTAAACTAATGAAATTAATATCTATTAAGACTGAAAATTAGAGTTCATAACCTATTAGAAAATTTGTGAAGAACAAGGTTAGATAAAGTAAACTTGAAAGTTTATAAACCCTTCAACTTTCAGAAACTTTTAAAGCACAAACAATAAAGACACCACTCCAAAAGTTGAGGAGTCATTTCGAATGATAATTCAAGAATCGAAGTCGAGTTGCTTTATAAAAAGAAGTTCTAATCCTACTTGAGGAGAATTTTGAGTGCCTATCCCGAAAGAAAATGGGATAATAGAAAGAATGGGAAGCGCGGAAGCTATAAGATTGGTTTTCCCCGACCAGCATACCAAACATATAATTTAACCTAACTAAAATTATGGGGTGGGATTCGAGCATTCGAGCTATCGACTTTTGAGATAGTAAATGGCGTCTCATCCACTCAACTATGTTCTGAGTAATTGGGTCTTGAACTTTCAATTTGACTCCCAATGTTACGACCATATTCAAACATGTTTTTCCTATGTGCAAGATTTCAGGGATTCAAACGCCATCCAAATATGTTATCTTCGGCAGAAAAAGAGAAGAAAGAGAGATAGAAATCACCAAGATTTGCCACTAATTTCGGCAACTTCATTTCAACAAAAACCTCACCTAAAAACCATCATTGTGTAGAGGAATTGAATAAACCCCCTAAAAAAATGAACTCAATTTCGAAAAAAAAAACACAAACACCCTCATCTCCCCAGTGGTTAACCAAAACCCAGTTGCTAAAACCAGATTTCAACATAAGAAAAACCTAAAAAAACAGACACCCAACACATCGAGAGCAGAAGGAAAGGCCTTACAATAATCAAATTGGTTCAATTTTACCTGAGGACCATAAAAGCCAGGCGAATTAAGCAACCCAGAAGGGCTGAGCCCTGGCGGGACCGAGAACAAAGGAGACCGAGCCACCATCAAATTGAGTGGCTTCGATTGCTTCAACCCAAATTCCAATTCCGAGCTGCCTCCATCCTTGGCGTAATAATTGGGTGTAGACCCAGTTCCCAGAAACCCCATAGCCATCGGAGAACCCATGGCTCCGGCGAGAAGCTGGGAGAAGGAAGGCGAGTCAGCTGCACCGTCGGCGAAGAAACTGGAGACAAGGGTCATAGGGCCAGGGCTAAGCCCAGTGGGTCCGGCAGCGAAAAAGGCGTCCATAGAAGGGCGCGGAGGGAGAGTGATGGTGGGGCGCTGGAGTGGAGGTCGTGCAGAGTCGTCTTTCTTAGCCATTGAAGAAATTGGGGAGTAGATTTCTGAACCTTTCCTCTGTAATCTGTATACAAATTTCTCTCAAAGTTCCGTATTTGGTTGCTTCATATTCAGTGGAAAGTACACGTAGCTAATATTATTTATTACTTCTACCTATTGTTTTTATTTTGGTCAGAATTAAAATATTATATAAATAAAAATTAAAAAAGTTTACATTTTATTACATCTCTTAAAATATTAATAAGTTATAATTAAATAATTAAGTTATTTATAATTTTTCTATATATATTTAAGGCGTGGACTTCACATCTCCAATCTAATATTAATGTTATATTCTAATAATATAAATATGCATCGATTTATTTAAATAGATGAGTTTTTTTCAAATATTGTCCGTTTTAGGCCGGTCGTCGTCAGTTTCACGATTTTTAAAACGCGTCTACTAGAGAAAGGTTTCCACACCCTTATTTTGTTCCCACGTGGGATTTAGAGATCTCCTTCTTCATAGTGATGAGAGAGACAAGTTGAGTTGCATGATTGTTGTAGCTCTTTGGAAAAGGTGAAGTCGTTGAACGCTCGGAGGTCATTAGGGTAGTGTTG